TGGCGACCCACAGAAGCAATGGCAGCTTTTTTTCCTCTTGCAAAATGGAACTGAGCAGCCTTCCCGCATACCTCAAAAACACGGCCGACAACTGACTTCCCAATGGCTTGGTGCATGCTTTGTGGGAGAATAGAAGTGCTGCCGATGCAGGGTGCCTTGGTGGAGTTTCCGCCAGAGCGAGGAGATGGGGAGTGAGGGATTTTTAAGTCCCACCTCACCCCGGTCCAGGTTAAGACCTGGGAGCTAGACAAGGGGTCTTTGTTCAAGAGGATGGTTGGGAACAAAGTTGAAAGAACTTGTTCCTTAAAGACACTTTCGAATATAGGGATAAGAAAATCCCCGATCCGGATAAATGGGTTGCAGAACCCGCAAGCATAATAAAGTGTGTAAGGACAATGAAAGTAGATAATAAAAGAAGAAACTAGCCAAACAAGAATGATTTGACTAAGGGGTAGTAAGTCTCCAGTGGAGTCGCCAAGCTAGTTAGGTGCCTTGATCTCGCCCTCCAGATCCTTTTGACATCGGGTGGCATGTGTCTCGGGTTTCAAGAGAAGACCCGGGATGTTTTTTGAGATCGCTCTATCGGGAACCCCGTTCGAAAATGGGGCAGGTGTTACCAACCAGTGAGAGAGGAATTTAAAGGTGGGTTTGGGACTTACTCAGGATGACTCGCATGAGCGTCCTCTTAGATCACGAAGAAAGGCCCCCAATAATAAAACAGGTTTGGAATCACCTCCCTTAGCTTCTATTCTTCTTGTTTTATGCTTTTTTGCAATCACACACTTATATGGCAAACGTTATAAAACAGGTGGGTCAGACCTCACCCTTTTCCTCTTTGATGAACTTACACAAGCATACACATTCAAAAAGAAGAAGAGAAGAAAGACGGGGGAGAGAAGAATTCGATTAAGCGAGAGGATCAGAGTGGTGACTAGGCTATTGGATAATTGGCCTGATGTGGTAGTAAAACGGGTTGGGTAACTAAGACCGGCTCACAGGATTACTACTAGACATCATTACCAATACCGACTAGCTAGGCACGATGGTCAGTCTGTCGTAGCAATAACGAGGGCTAAGTAACCCTGGCACAAGAATGTTACGACTAGACGACAGGACTACCATGAGAGGCTAATCTCAATCCCTCTTAGTCAAATGAAAGAGTAGCAGAATTAAGGCTATCTGGAGAGAATAAGAAGAGAAGAAGGGAAAGAAAGAAGGAGGGAGAAGAAAGGAAGAGAAGAGTATGAAAAAAGAGAGAATAAATGAGAAATAGGGAAGGAAGGAGCAGTCGGGGTTAAGCATTACAGACTGTGCTTAGAAGGAAGAGAGAGAAATTCAGTTGGCCCTAGGCTTCACTTATCAGAGAGAGAAAACCAATCAGTGCTAGGCCTCGCCGACTGACAGAGGAAGAGAGAAAACCAGTCACGCTAGGTCTCAACAACTGACAGAGGAAGAGAGAAAACCAGTCGACGCTAGATCTCGCCGACTAATAGAGGAAGATAAAGAAAACTAGTCGATGCCCGGTCTCGCCGACTGACAGAAAAAGATAGAGAAAACCAGTTGACACTAGGTCTCATCGACTGACAAAAGAAGAGAGAGAAAACCAATCAATGCTAGTTCTCATCGACTGATAGAGGAAGAGAGAGAAAACCAGTTTGTGCTAGGTCTCGTCGACTAACAGGGGAAGGGAGAGAAATCAGTCAGCGTTAGGTCTTACTGTTTGATAAGGAAGAGAGAGATGACCAGTCGGTGGTAGGTTTTACCGATTGACTAAAGACGAGAGAGAAGACCAGCCGGTGGTATGCTTCATCGACTGATAGAAGAGGAGAGAGAAGAAGAGAGATAAGATCAGTCGACACTGGACTTCACCGACTGACAGAAGAGGAGCAAGAAAATCAATCGGTGCTAGGTCTCGCTGACTGATAAAAGAGGAGAGAGAAGACCAGTTGGCTCTAGGCTTCACTGAGAAAGAGATAGAGATGAGAAGAGAGGAGAGAAAATGAAGAGATAGAAAGAGAGGAGGAGAGAGAAAGAGGGGAGGAGAGAGAAAGAGGGGAGGAGAGAAAAGTTACTTGCTCGAAGGAGATAGAGATGGGAAGGGATGAGGAGAGAGAAAGAGATAGAGATGACAAGAGAGGAGAGAAAAAGAAGAGATAGAAAGAGGGGAGGAGAGAGAAAGAGGGGAGGAGAGAAAAAGTTACCTGCTCGAAGGGTATCGACCCTTTTCTTCTCTCTCCTCTCTCCCTCTCCAAGATGTATTCACAAACTCAAGAGGGAATCGAAATTTTATTGAATCAATCCAAAAATGAACCGAAGGCCCTTTCAATTTAGCTTTGCATGTTTATATAAAATTGGGCTAAAACGTGGGTGTAAGCCCAAAAAATAGCTAAAATTGAAAATTTTACAATTTCATTGAATTTAAAGAAATTCTAAAAATGGGTGAAAAATAACTGTTTTTCCCCTGTCAAACAATGTGTGGAATTTCAAAACAGTCCATGCTGCTCCTCGAGAACTTGTGTGATCTTCCGTGGCTGACCCGATGTCGTTCTGATGCCCGTTTGATCGAAATATTATTGTTTTTTTGTAGGGATCGGCATGGCGATCATTTTGATACCAACTTCGAGCCATGAATCATGTTTTTGAGGCATGATCATGAGACTTGAATCTTGGATGAATCTTTAAAACTTCGGATCGATTGTGTGCTCGTTCCTTGATATTTCTTTAAGATTTCTTCATTGAATCAAGCTGATCATGCTGTCATGATCATGTTGCAACGAACTCAGCTTGATTTCGTGTCCGGATGAAGATTTTTTCGTCTTGAGTTTTAACCAGAATCTTGAAATTCGACGGCCAAAATTTACAACAGCTTTGATGCCTTCGTGTGTGAAATCCAACCGTTCATCGTACGTGAGATTCATACCAGAGATAGCCTCGGACCTCACACACATAATGCAATTGGTTTCTTACCGATCGGGTATACGAGCATCGTAATCTGGCTGCTCGAACGAGGCGTGTTGCTGCTGAATTTTCTACAACTTCCTTCACGTATTGGCAACTTTCATTTAGTTTTCCTCTATGCTCGAGCGTCGTCATGGGGCGTACCATATATCAAATTGTTCGTCTTGATGAGACGAACACGCTTACCAAATTGGGGAGCGATCCGACTTGGAACGAGTTAGATATAGGCCCCAAAATTGGATATCTATGATAGTAAAAACAACCACCTTTAATGGTGTTTTGGTACAGTGAGGCCAAATGGGAATAGTGTGCAGCCTACCCCTTTTTAGTCTTTTACCCATAACGTTGTCCTTGAGTGCCCGATAAAGCCGAAACTTGACCAATAAGGGTTTTCGGCTGTGTCAGATCTAATGGCAGTGGTCCCACGACTGTTTAATGCACCAAAAGTATTATTCTAGTTATGGGGTCCATTTCAAGGTGCTAGAGAACGATTTTGCTGAAATTGTTTCTTTGTGTTCACTGCCTTAGGCATGTCTGATTACGATGAAACTCGGCAGGTGGTCCTTCGAAGTGTTGATGAAGATCCTAACCAGTTATGGGGCAATTTTGAGACTATCAGAAATTTCCATTGTTTCGTAGATTTTATTGACATGTTTCCTATCAAGGACCAAGGTGCTGAAAAATTTGTTCAAACAGTCACCCCAAAGTCGACAAGGCGACCCAAATTCTTGCCTCCGTGAACTGAGAACCTTCAGTGCATGTATCATTAGCTACAAGGACATTTCATTAGCGAATGCACCAGCTTCCACAAACTCTTGGCAAAAAAGATACAGCAATGCCAAGAAGCTCATGGTACCCTAAGAGGACACCCTCAAGTCCCTCTTTCGTCAGTGCAAGAAGACCTCCCAACATACGCCTAGGGAAACATGGAGCAAGACCCTCTTCCATCTCTCTTCCCAGCAATGCTTCAGCAGGGCCTCGTCACTCTCGAGCCCATCAGGCACCCTAAGCGCCTTACCCAAGGTACTGAAAACCTTGGTGCCCATATCACCAATTATGGGGCTACGAGATGAAGGAATGCTCTGGGTTCGAAGCTATAGTTGCGGAGAAAGTCTAGGAAGGCCACATTGTTTGTGTCGTCCTCGCAGAAAACTTCCAGGTCATCGCTTCCATCAAGAGGAAGCCACACTATAAGTCCCTCATGATCATACACTGAACCCTTTAGAACCCTTGACCTCTCAGCCCTGAGAAGTCTACCATGGGCGAAGTAGGCTCAAATACCTGAAGCATAAGGCAGTCCACCAAGCTAGGGCTACTCACCCACCCAATAGGACGGTCCAAACACCTCCTCAGGGATCCAAAAGGAGATGAGAAGAACCTAGGTCGGCTCGATGAAGAAATCGTCTTCCTCAGCAACCATTCAAGGAAGAATTTCTCAGGCCTCTCGCCCCTTTGCCGACCTTGTTGGACTTCATCCCAGACGCAGTTCACCTTGTCCTTCATCCAATCAGGTGGACATCCTTGCGTCACCAGCAGCTCGGGATTCATCCAATATGGGTGATGATGCTAAAAGTACCCCACCACAGTCCAAGCCAGGGCAAGACCTAAAATACCCCTGCACATGTCCAATTATGACGAGGACATAAAAAACTGCCTGGAATGTTCTAACTCTTCTTCTCCTTCCTACACTTCTATTTCTTCCACAGGTGCAGCTCAACAACGCCCAGACTTCGACTCTCTAATCAAAGAGCTTGGAGGTACCAGCCTCAACGAGTCGTAGCAAAAGTGCCTCAGAGAATTACTGGCCTAGCCAGCTGGATTTTCAATAGTTGTTAACGCCCCGGCAGCCCGAGCCAAAACCGAGTCATCTTCAAGCTCCTGCTCCCACGAGGCCTGCCACATGATCCAAGTGCTTGAAGCACCCATCTCGGGGAAAGCACCAAGTGATCCAAGTCACGAGATCATCGAATCAAACCCTTCCATCGCCTGGACTAGCCAGAGACCTGGCCCTCTCCCACACTATGCCCCTCCTAGAAGCCGAGATGTCGGGATCATGGGTTTTTGCATTCAAGGTCAATCAGAATCCTTGTGAGTCCTCTGACGAGGAACTCCAGGAAGCTCTAGAAGAGTGGGAAGAAGGTGGTCAGGCCACTGCTAATGAGCTTGAAGAGATCAACCTGGGGGATGAGGCCGACCTGAGACTAACTTTCATCTCAGCAAAAATGTCCCCAGAGGAGAAAGAAAGTTATATTTCCCTCCTCTGAGCAAATTGAGACGTCTTTGCCTGGCATTATCATGAGATTCCTAGTCTAGACCCCCAGATTGTTGTCCATCACCTCGGTATTGATTCAACCATAAAACCCACGAAGTAGAAATCAAGAAGGTTTAGAATTGACCTCGAGATGTGGATTGACGATGAGGTGAACAAGGTCCGGCAAGATGGATTCATACGTGAAGTCAAATACCCAAAATGGCTGGCAAATATTTTCCCAATCAATAAAAAGAATGGCCAAATCAGGGTCTGTATTGATTTTTGTGACTTGAACACCGCATGCCCCAAGTATGACTTCCCTCTGCCGTTCACCGAGATGCTTGTCGACTCCACGACTCATTGTCAAATCTTCTCCTTTATGGATGGGTATTTTGGTGATAATCAAATCAGGATGGCGCCAAAAGGTGAGGAGGCTACTGCATTCTTGACCCCAAAATGTGTCTTTTGCTACACTGTGATGCCTTTTAATTTAAAAAATACTGGTGCCACATACTAGCGAGTCCTGATGACCATCTTCAAGGAAATGATCCACAAGGAGGTCAAATGCTATGTGCATGACCTGGTGGTAAAATCTAAAACAAAAGATGCCCACATACAAGACCTTTAAAAGGTATTTGAATGGCTACGGTATCACCAACTCAAGATGAACCCCTTGAAATGCGCCTTCGACATATGCTCAAGAAATATCTTAGGGTTCATCGTGAGGAACCGAGGACTGGAGATCGAGCCACTCAAAATCAAGGCAATTTAGGGCATGCCGCCTACAACCCAGCATGAACTGCGGTCTCTCCAAGGACAGCTAGCCTACATTCAAAGGTTCATCTCAAAGAAGGACACCCCCTTCATATGGAACAAAGCATGCCAAGCTGCACTCAATGACATCACGTAGTACTTGTTGAACCCACAAGTACTCTCTACGCGAATGTTAGGAAGGCCTCTCATCCTATACGTGACTGTCCTTGATGAGTCACTCGGGGCACTCCTAACGCAGAACAATGATGGTGGGAAAGAGACAACACCCTGTTATCTCAGCCGCAGAACGCAAGGAGCTGAAAATAATTACCCTCCCATCGAAAAGATGTTCTTAGCCTTGATCTTTGCGATACTGAAGCTCCGCCATTATTTGCTCGGTCACGAGGTCAAGTTAATCTCCATGGTGGACCCGGTCAAGTTCCTTATGACCCGGCTATGCTTGTCAGGATATTTGGCCAAGTGGGCATTATTGTTGATGGAGTTCGACATCATGTATGTACCACAGAAGGTAGTCAAAGGTCAAGCCCTAGCAGACTTCCTCGCACCTCACCCAGTACCGTCGGAATCTCCCCTGTCAAGAGATCTCCCAGATGAAGAAGTTTTTTGTACGACGTTAACTCAGCTGTGGGAAATGTACTTTGACGGAGTATTCCTGTCTGATAGAGGGGGCACCAGAGTCATGTTCTTGACTCCCGACGGTGGAATGATTCATCTATCCTTCTCACTGGCAGAGGCATTTTCTCATAATCAAGCTGAATATCAAGCCCTCATAATCGGGTTGGAGATCGCCCAAGAGCTAGATCTGGGGTGGTTAAACATCTTCGATGACTCTGAGCTAGTCATCCGACAGCTTAAGGGGATTTATGACATAAGGAAGGATACTTTCAAGCCTTATCATGGCACGACCAAATCTTATATGGGCCAGTTTGATGATTTCTCCCTGAGTCATATCCCTTGAAGGTTAAACTCGCAGGCAGATGCGCTCTCAAAGCTCGGTGCCACCATTCAATTGCCTTTATCAGGGCCTACGCCAGTCTGGGTAATCGAATGGAGACATGTCGACTTGAGAGCTGAAGTTGACACAGATAATGAGAGGGGTGTCTTCCCTAAATGCCCTCCTTACCCATTCGGAGCACTCCTTGTGGCCAAAGATGCCATTAAGGCCAAACAGGAACTATCCCGAGGTAAAGAATCCAAGGCCGAGAAGAAAGAGGCTGAATTCTTCAACCCGATGTGCATGGAGATCGAACAAGGGGAAGACTGGAGGGAGCCTATCATGGACTTCATAAAGCATGGAAGGGTACCTCAGGATTGGGCGGAACACAACGGCATACGACAGATGTCTATCAAGTACGCCCTCCTCGATGGGGATGTTCTTACGCGTCTATCATTTTATGGAATTCTCCTCAGATGCCTCGATGCACAAGAGGCAAGCAAAGTGCTGTAAGAAGTGCATTTAGGTATTTACAGGCTGCATCAGTCTGGCCATCTCTACGAGCGTATATGCAGGCTCGGCTATAATTGGCCTTCAATGGTGGCTGATGCCTAAAATTATGCCACGAGATGCCAAGTGTGTGAAATTCATTCAGGCTTCATTCATCAACCCCCGGAGCCTCTCCATCCTACAGTGACATCATGGCCCTTTTCCCAATGGGGTATGAACATTGTAGGACCCATCGACCCTCCTTTTACCTTGGGTCATGCCTTCATTCTGGCAGCGACAGATTAGTTCTCCAAGTGGGTTGAGGCAGTCCCTCTCAAACAGGTTCCATAGCTCACTGTGGCTAACTTCGTGTGTCACCACATCATATACCGGTTCAGGGTTTCGGACCAAATAATCTCTAATAACTTCCCTCAATTCAGAACCCATCACATTGATCACCTAACCAACCAGTTCGGTTTCGAGTGGAAGTACTCGACCATGTACTACCCTCGAGCTAACGGTTTAGCTGAGGCGTTCAACAAAACTCTGTGGGGGGTGCTCCGGAAGTCAATCTCAAAGTCAAAGAAGAACTGGCATAACAAGTTGTCTAAGGCTCTGTGGGCCTATCGCACCACCACTTGCAATGCTACAAACTCTACCCATTTTTCCCTGGTCTATGGAGGTGAGGCAGTCCGACCCCTTGAGGTTCGAATAACCTCACTCCATGTTACTATACATCAAGGACTAACCAAGCACGATAGGGTTAAGCTCCGTTACCAGGAGTTGGATGCCCTTGACGAAAAGAGACTTGAGGCTCAGCAGAACCTCAAGCTCAATCAAGAAAGAATGAAGAGAGCCTTTGACAAGTTTGTCAAGGTTCGCTCATTCTCTCGTGGGGACCTAGTCTTAGAACTCAAGAGACCCATTGTCATGCAAGGTCACTGCAAAAGAAAATTCGAACCCAAGTGAGAAGGCCCATTCATAGTCAAGAAGGTCACACCAAATGGGGCCTATATACTGGTGAACTCAGATGGAGTGGAGGCAATGCCCCTTTCAATGGGCAATACCTAAAAAAGTACTATCCGTTATGTATACTCAAGAAAAGAGACTCAACAGAAAGAAAGCAAGGCAGCTCGAACAACTTCAAACTCTTTTTATTGCAATAAAAATGAGTTATAAGATACAAGCCAAGAAGCCCATTATTAGGGAGATTACAATTCTCTTATATCTGAGGGAAGGAAAATGTTGACACCAAAAGTGTTGCTCTTGCATCTGAGGATAAGAAGACGGTTACATGCCAAAAGAAATGTCTTCCTCGTGAAGAGGAAGCAAACCCACCAAAGAAATGCTCTCCTCATGAAGAAGAAGCAAAACCACTTGGAGAAGTTAGCTTCAGTTCATCTAACAAGTGCCACCAGAGAGGATGTTTACATGCCAAAAAGAAGAAGCCAACCATTTCTGAGTCAGCTTCAAATCATCTAATGAGGCATAGCTAGCTTCCAAGGAACCGGCCCATGATGGAAAAGCATGGATTTCACAGTTGTGTTGGAGGACTTTGCTTCCAACAGACTGCGGCAGCCCGTTTTCCATCACTCTTAACCTCCGTGAGACATCGCTCTCCCTGGTCATCGCCGTGTGCAACTCAGCACCATGCGCAACCATCGTCGTGCGCAACACAATGCCACGTTTTACCACCACCACGGGCAGGCCAACACCACGCAATACCGTCGCCGCGAGCGGCATGCTCCCGAGCATGGCTATCGCCACGTGTGGCCTATGGACGCACGAAGGCAACACTGCATGCAACTTAATGTCACGCATGCCCTTGGAGTGCCCAGTTCCCCAAGGAAATTAACTCTCACCCCTCTTTGGTTTTCCCAACCATCACTCCTCGCGGACGGTCCACCTTCTCACAACCTTTCCAACCTTCGAGTTTCACCGGAAACACTTCTCCGCCCGCCAGAAACCCTTGTCCCTGTTCTTTCCCCTACTGGTGCTTCCCCTCTTCAGCGGGAGTTCAATCGTGCTCACCGGGAAACCTTTCCATCACTAACTGAAGTTCGTAAAAAACCATCGGAATCCCAAGAAAACTTCCCTGTGACCCTGCGGGTTGCCCCTTTCCCTGCTTTAGCCCTTCACCAATTTTTCAAAACTCACCAAAGTTCCATTGAATTCCTGGTGAGCCCACTACTATTGCTCCTTCTTCCCCCTGATAGCCAGAGGACCATCAGATTCGCCCCACTTCTCTATGACCTCCCCTTTAGCCACAGGATTACCAAAGAAGGCACCAGCACTTTGGCAGAGCACCTCTGTAAATCTTGCTAAGGCCTTGAGGAACCTTGATCGTTTCTCAAAAAGCCTCGGCACTCTTCAAAAGTATCTACAAGCATGGTACAAGGCTCAGGACCTGCTCGAGTTCACCAGAAAGCTCCTAAAGGCCTGACTACTACAAACTTTGGCTGCAAGACTCTCCCTGGAAGTCTCTTCTCAAAAGCTCAGGCTCTATCTCTCTCTAAAAATTCATTAACTATTTTACCCTTCATTAAAACATTAAAATGGGATTTTCCCCCTTTTATACTAAACAATCCTACAAACTGCCCTTGACAAATATGAAATGACGCTCTAGTCCCCATCTTCTGATCGTAATAAGACTAGGTCGGGGCAGGTCAAGCCCGAGACCCGAAAGGGTCATCAACGTGCATTTCACCCAAAGGCTATCACCACGTGCTTTGTCAGGAGCTACCGTCGCGCTTCGACAGAAGGCTATCACCACGCACCTCATCAAGACTATAGCCGAGTGCTTTGTCAGGGGGCTATCGCCATGCACTTCGTCAGAGGCTACTGCTGAGTGATTCACTAAGGAGCTAACATCATGCGCACATCATCTAGGCCTAATCTCGCGTGTGCCATTCAACATTTAGTGCCACGCACATGCCATGGCACTCCTATTCGGACCATCATCCTCGATCCTCGAGAAGTTCATTCCTTGTAGCACAATCTCGCTCCTCAAGGGGTCCAGTGCCCGGTGATGGCTCTGTTCCCCAAAGAGTTGCATTCCCTCACTACACTATGGTCCTTGTTGCATGACTTTAAACTACATAGCCACGGTCCAGACTATATGACCTTAAACTGTAGCGGAGGTCTAATTGCATGACCTTAAACTGCATGGTCCATGCTACATGACCTTAAACTGCACAGCCATGGTCCAAACTATATGACCTTAAACTGTAGCGGAGGTCTAGTTGCAAAACCTTAAATTTCTTAGTCCTCGTCTCATGACTATCAACTGCACGACCATGGTCCAGTTGTCTGACCTTAAACCATAGTGCACATCTTAGCTGCATGACATTAAAAGGCTCAACATCATGGTCCAAACTATATGACCTTAAACTGTAGTGGAGGTCTAGTTGCACGACCTTAAACTGCATGGTCTAACTGCATCGCCATGGTTTGAGCTACAAGACCCTAAAACTGTAACACACGGCCCGAGAGATGAACCACCTCTTCGCTAAGGTGTATTTCGTCAACAACCCCAGTGAAGTTAGATGTATGCAAAGGTCATATCTAGCCCTTTAATCCTCAATGGGTTTGTTTCGCACCAACATCCCAATGAGAGTCACATCCTACTATGACCCACTATCCCCAGGGATCCCTTCAACCCTCAGTGAGGTTCATCTGTGCTCTGTCATTTTCAGTACAGTTACATGCATACCATTCCTCATTGCTCCCGTGGAGTCACACTGGCCCTCTTAATGCCCAGTGAAGACACTTTCACCTTCCACTCCTCGTAGGGCCACCATCTTCATATAAATCTATCTGCTTGTGTATAGCCTTAACTATCTTTATTCCCAGGGAGTCAGATGGCTATCCATGGACCTATGCCCCATGCAGCTTCACTTACATGGCAACTCACACTCTGGTCCGTACTGCATGACCTTAAATTGCACAGCTCTAGTCCATACTGCATGACCTTAAACTGCACAGTCGTAGTCCTAACTGCATGACTTTAAACTACACAGCTCCGGTCCTAGCTGCATGACCTTAAACTATACAAGCCACGGTCCAAACTATATGATCTTAAACTGTAGTGAAGGTCTAATTGCACGACCTTAAACTGCACTGTCCTAGTTGCATGACTTTAAACTACATAATCACGGTCCAAGCTATATGACCTTAAACCATGGTGCACGTCCTGACCGCATGACATTAAACTGCTTTAGCCAAGTCTAGGAGACATGACCTTAAACGCGGCCTCACATACGCACACACCCCCTTTATGTGAATCTTCACACACGCCTTCCCTAACCGACCCGCTCATGTTCGTGCACCACCTTCATTACCTTCTTTGTGAGTCCACATATGCGCACACCCCTTTTACGTGCATCTTCACATACATTTTCCTTTACTGACCATTCGTGTGCGCACACCACCTTCATTACCTCCCCAGTGCGTCCACATACATGCACACACCCTTTATGTGCATCTTCACCCATGCCTTCCCTAACCGACCCGTTCATGTGCACACACCATCCATCATTCCCCCAGTGAGTCTTACTCATGCTCACAAAACAGCGAACCATTCCACAATCCATATTCGCCATCAGCTAGTGGGTCACCACTTTTTACCCACCGTTCATACATCATCAATCCTTCATTGGCAACCTCATGCTATCTTCCCAAAGTGAGTCGAAACCATCACCATACTCACTCCATGGCCTCTACAGACTGCCATTCATCACCAACATGATCCAGTTGTATGACCCTAAACTATAGTGCACATCCTGGCCGCATGATGTTAAAAGGCTTCACATAGGTCTCGAAGGCACAACCCTAAACATGCCTTCACACGAAAAACGGGCATATTGTACACCTAAACAAGGGAATTCCATGAGTAAAAATGATGGACGGGCATGGTCACGAAACCATGAGTAAAAGAGTTCCATGGAAACAAAACTTAGGCACGGTGACAACCCCAAAAGGGCATCGTGAGAAAAAATGAACGAAAAGGGTGGACATGGCCGCAA